GAAAAGGCGTGACGATTCAGCAAGAATGCGCGTATATTTTAACCATAACCTGATTATAATACGTATGTTCCTTTGAAAAATTCATACCGTTTACAATAAAGATTCTCAACCTGGAATGTATATATAATTTTCTACCTTTCATTCCTGCTACGATTCCCTCGCTAATTGTATTCTCTTTTCAACTTCGTTAACAACTTTCTTCGTTCCTCCTCTAAATCCTCTTTCCAGCCTGAACAACTCGCGTTTTGGACGTTTTGCGCAATTAACCACTCGGCCCGTCCCGTTGGTCCGCGCTGATCTTTAGTGCGCCGGGCATCCGTAAAATTCGCCGAATTTGCATCGGCGCGAGATACGAGATCTCTGGTCTACGCGGCTGCCGTTCGTGTCGATAATGGGAGCCGATCGGGAGATTACTGGCCCTATTACTTCATTAAGCTCACCGACGCGTAAATTCTTTCTCGCCGCCTGAAACGTTAACGAGCTAATACGATTTCAATAATTATTTTCAATTTTCTAACTACATTTTACGTAGAAAAAAAAACATTAATTGTTCTTTTAAGAAACGAGAAAAAATTTCCATCGACCATTCTCTGGTCCCGTTTTCATGTCGATTCGACAAGGAGCCTCGAAAGGGTCATCTTTGCGATCTTTTGCATCGATGCATACGGAGAAGAGGAAGGGAGCTGAAGGAGGACTCGATACGTTACAGAACCTTCCGCATATATCGAAGATCGGGACAAAAGTTAGCCAGGGACGCAGAGAAGACAGGCGGCAACAATGCCAAGGCCCCCCGCGCTTCGGACTCTAATATATTGCCATTGGACGCCGCGAGGGAAAAGTATTGGACCTTGTTAAGCCTACCTGTATAAGGGCCTCCGTTGGCCCATCCCTGCTCATTCTCGTACGCACAGCTCTTTCCCTGACTCGGGGAATTTTAATGCGAAAAATTGGTTCCGCCTGCGCCCCCGATGCGCCCCTTCTTTTTCGTTTCAACGCGGACAGCATGAATTTTCTGTACGAGAAAGAAAAGGGAGGAGGGGACCACGTCGCCAGTTAAAATCCTTGTCTACGCGCTCTTCCGAGAACCATGAATTTTCGATCTTGATTGGACATCTTGATTCCAGATCCAATAAGCTAGCTGGATCGTCCCATGCCCATGGAAATTTTACGGAATACATTCGAGATAATTGGGCTTCCTGTTAATCCTTTCTTTTTTAATTTTTGATACTTTTAATAATTTCTACCGTAAAATAAATCTGTCTTTAATGAAAATGCAAGTGGTTTGATTCTTCAACCCTTCGAAAAGTGCACGTTTCAAAAAGGATCCACGAACTATCTTGATTATTTGGCAGACTCGGTGATCTATTAATCTTTATGAGCCTCACGTATCCCGCCGGATTCCCGTGAGGCTTAACATCCCTTGGCTAATAAAAATCCTGGCTAAATCTTCGAGCCGGCAACACGACGATAAATAAACTAATAAAGCCAACCCTCCACGGCCGAACGATTATTGGGGCCGGTAAACGCGTAACAGGGATATGATTTTTCGAAAGGAACGAAATTTCTCTGCCGGCTTTTTAATAAGCCCTGAGACACCCCTCGGTTAACCACCCTCGAAAAACGATCGAACGATTATTCTATTACCATGGCCGCCGGTGGGAAACGTATACAACGAAATCGTCGCGTGTAATCTCAGCCTGTAATAACATTCCCCCGATTTGCATATGGGCGGAGGTTAAGTCATGAATTTATTGCCACCCCGTGTGTGTTACGCGTGTACACGCGTGTGCGAGCAACAACCGCACGCGTATTAACCTGACACGCGTAATATGCGTGTCCGTTACTGTACACCTATATCTCGTGTCTGTCGGTCCGATTATTAATTTCTATGGACAGTGGGGAAGGGACCTCGGCGTTGAACAGGGGTGCTAGAATATTGGCTGATATTATATGATAATGAGACGTGGTTAATCGATAGGGGATTCGTTTGAATAACGCTCATCAACGGAGGGATTCTAAATGATCCTCTGGGGAGAAATATTCTTTAAGAATCTATACACGTTCTATAGGTTTCTGGATGAGGAGAAGATAATTTCATTTCGATATCTCTTAAGAATAATTGAATAAAAAGTAACCGATCAAAGTGTTGATATATCCTTTTAACGGGCACGAGGATTCCTCGAGGCGTTCCATTGATCGCGTCGACACCTCCGATTTCGCGATGAAATTTCAACGTCGTCGCACGCGTATCAGGCCTGTCAAATCGCGAGGCAAACAAAAGCCGAATCGACGCCGGTCCTGCCAAAAATACCGCGCCTATCGTTCGCCCAACAATAGGAGTCAATTGGTGGCCTTTTGGAGTACGGGTTTCTCCCTTTTCACCCTTCGTCCACCCCCTCCGATGAGCTTGACTCCTTAGTCGTGATCGTCGTGTTACATCGGTATCGTAGTTTTTCTATGGGATCGTTATTATCCTCGTGTCTCGTGGCATATGCTCACCCCTAGTCGAGGGGTTGAAAGAATCGGCCCACCATGAATCGCATTTCCCACCGCGGGGGATCTAAAGTGGCTGCAGAAGTTAATCCGCAGTTAAAGCCCCGGTAAACACGATTAAAACGTCGGATTTCGATACAACCGACCGGTCCTCTTACATCGTACATTCGGAGTCGTAAAAATCCTGCGCAATGTTTGCCTTTCGCACGATGGAAAATACTGTGCTTTCGAGGGGAATTTAGAAAACGACGGGATTTTTGGTGAGAAAACGATCGTTAAATATTATTCAAAGGTGTCCGAGAATAATACACGAGAAGCTAAGTTTTCTAATCTACTTTGAGCACGTACTTGGCACTGATTTACAGCAAGTGTGAAACGTTTCCGGTGTTGAAGAGCGGTGATAAATCGGTGAAAAATCACCGGGAACAACCACTCCAGGCAAAACGTCGATCCAGTTTTTCCGTTTCCACTCGAGGATCGAGGGAACCAAGTACGCGGACCGAGAGTGTCACTGGAAGAGGTCCTCGAACGGTCGTTAATTATTCCTCTTAACGGTAAGCCGATTTCACGCTTTGTACCGTGCCGACTCGCGAACGCGGGGCTCCCAATAACCGGAACGAAAGAGAGAAATTGAAAAACGACCTACGCTCGAGCCACGAAGAGTATTTATGCGCGTATCCGTTGCTCGGCCGCTTAAACGACATTCGAAAGCTAGATCTCTTCTTCTCACGTTGGATTACAAATCCGGCTGAACGTAAATTGTAACAGCCTCCTGGCTAATGTAACAAATACCAGAGGAAGTTGAATAAAATTAATTGAAATGGTAAAGAAAATGATTTACTCTTTCCTACCCCTAATTTCTACTAAAATCATTCAACTATCGTGAAGAATTTATACGAATAAATGAAGGTGTGCGAAAATATTTAATAAAAATAAGCAGACGAGGGTAGAAGGGTTAAGAATGACTCGATGAGTTCTCTTCATAGCCGGGACAACGAATAGTGTGGGGAAGAAGAGCGAAGAAGAAGAATACGATGGTGAACACGAAGATACAGGTGGGGTTAATGCGGCTAATAAGAGAGAAAACAAAAGGCGAACCGAGACGAGGCCAAGAGAGCCGGCATGCGCGTCCGTACTAATTACGAGCAGCATTGGCGCGGGCCCTTCGGAAGAGAAAATTAAGTAGGCTTAATTAAACCGGCTCTAACAATATGTATTTAAATTGGCCGAGAACGTCTTCAGTTGCTCGATCCACGCAATGCGTTGACGATGCTGAATACAGTCCCCGTTGTTCCAATGAAATATTCTGAGGATGGGTTGACAATCGGACAGGGGAACAGAGACGACATTGTCTTTGATTAATCATCGATCGAGCTGGATCACCGTTCTAATTGATGTTTCTTTCTTTTGCCTTACGGATAAAATGAAGCCCCGAGATTATATTTATTGGACATCAGAATATTTCTATAGGAAGCATTTTAATTATTCCTGTATGATATTTAAGGGAGGTGATAAGAGGAGTTTAGTATTTTATAATTTTCATTTTTGGAAATACGCGTTCGAAAGATATCCAAGAGGCGGCTTTGGGCAAAAGTCTTGGCTAATAGAGTCGTAGCTGGTACAGTCGCTGTCAGAAGTAGCGGTCGACCGCCACAAATCATAAGATTAGAATTTTAAATTCGCCGCGGACCTAAGGCTCACCCGGCCACGTGGTGGGATCCGCGTCGTCGGATTCCCTCGAAATCTCGATCCACGATCTACCGTGGCGAGGAGAGACCCCTTCTCACGAAGTAAACTCCGAGCAGCCGAATAAAAATCGAACGAGCCGAGCGGAATTTGAATAACGACCATTGTACCAGAACGCAAACCCGACGACCATTCTGGACCGGTCCGTTTCCGAGCACCACGATCGATTGCCGATTCTCGATCGAAACGAGCCCCTCGAAATCTCCATTTTCGTAAAACAACGAAACATATACGCTGCGTCTAACACTTTGCCGTTAACATTACATTTTATCGAGTCGGTCCGTGTAATCGGCAACCTGTCCATGTACCGGCATCGCCTCGTATCTAAGCGCGGAAATCGTTTCCCAAGGAAACTCGCCTTTTCCGGTCATCGTTACCCGCCGCGAAGTCCGGCTAATTACGATATTAACATCGGGACCGATAGTTGAGGGAAAAGAGGGAAGGGGATAGAGGAAGGTAGTGCAGGTCAGCGCGAAGGAAAGCAGTCCGTAGCAGGCATGGTGCGTGTAACGATGGCATGCCCCACGTGTCCAATCAGCGTGTTTCTTTGGCCAGGCCACCACGGGCACCGCCGTTGCACCGTGGATCCCACAACGAGGGTAAAAGAAAAGCCTAATCAGCATGCGTCCCGTCCAGCCAATTAGAAATACTCTGTTTTACCGACTGTCACCGTGGATCGCGTATTGAGTTGTATCGGCCGAGTTATGTTCACTTCGTTAGTCAACGATCCTCGAGCTACCGGCTCGATCCCTTCTACTTACCCTCTTCATCCTTCTTCCACCCTATCGACCGCCTCTCTCCATCCCTCGCTCTGTGATACACACACATGGTTATCCACGTTACACCCACACGTACGAACGGCACACCAGAATCTCGTGTCTCTCCGTGTCTGTCCGTGAAGCGGATTCTGTATGGGCCGGTGCTTGATTTACGGCCAACGAGAGTCAGCTCGGGACTCTCGGTAGTAAGAGAGACTGCTAATAGTCCCTTCCATGGGCTCCGCTCAGCTTGGCCCGCAAATATTCCGCTCTCTAATTGGAATTGATTAGGAGGGCCCCGGTCTCGTTCGCGGAATAAAGACGGAATTGCTGACTGGCCAACCAACGATTCTCTTTCTGCTTCTCCCTTGTATCCGAGAAAAAATCCTACCAGACGGCGAACAGCGTACCGATCCGGAGGTCGTTGGCTACGTACCCGTCGCGGAGGAGCACGAGGGTGCGCGGACGGCACCCTATTAGCTCGAGTCGTCGCAAAAGTACTACCTAAGACAATCGTTCGCGTAGGAATTTGTTTATTTAATATTTAAAGAAATCTGTATATTTTAAATAAAGAAATAGTTACGTTTTAAATTTCATCTTTGAAGAACATCTGAGTCCGAAGGGGTTAAATTAGTTCCAATCGACACTTCTGGATTAATTCAGCACCCTTTTGATTTTCCCCTAAAACATCATAGAATTTATTTGAAATATTGATCGGTCTCTGTTCCACCGAATACGGTATTACCTATGGAACGAAGGGGAAGAATATCCAGCCCGAAGAAATATGCAAATGACGCAGCTCGAGCCTGATTGAGGTACTTCTGCCGTAAGCAGCGGAGAAGCGAGCCGGCTGGTGCTCTCGTCCTCTTTCATCTCGCGTGGCAGGCTGGTCTTTCGCCCGGGGAGCCGTCTCATTTTATTTTCGCGTGCGAGGCGCGCTCGTTTGCTATCTCGGTTCAACGCTAACGAGCCTGTTAGCGGCAATTATTCTAATTAATATCTCTAGCGGGCGACGAGAAACGGAGGGAGAACGCATCCTCTCGCGGGCAACCCTCCCGAACGGTTCGTTCCTTCTGCATCCCGGCTCGAACGTCGTCAGGTGGAACGAGGATGAAACGAAGAGAGCATAGCGAGCTTTACGACGCTCCTCGTCGTGGTTTTTGCGTTCGCCGCGTGATTGGCTATTACCGTCTCCTTCCTCGTCGGTTATATAGCAGCTCGGCTTGCCGCACCGCGCAGGATTGAGTCCTCTTCGCCTTCGTCTCCTCCTTTTGTCTCTTCCTACCGTTGCCACTCGAACGAAAAGGAACAGCATCGAGCACCTCGAAGTTTCGTCTTCTTCTTTTTCTTACGAAACGTAAAACACTCGGGCCGGGCCAACGCGAGGGGAGAAGAACAGGCAGAGCCGGAAGGGCTGCCTCTAATTGTGTTTGCTCTCGCGTTGAAGAATTCTTTTTTTTTTTCTCGACAGCGGTCGACTCCTTTTCGTTCGCGGCTCGACTCGTTATATGACTTGCCATGGGTTCAGCTTTGGGGTCGCGGCTCGTTCGTACCTCCTCTCCCTTCACCCCCTTTATTCCTCGTCTCTATTTCTCACGAAACGCAGGAGTGCATAGGCGCCACCTGTAAAAAAATATTTCTAATTAGTTGGGAATTTGAAACGCTACGCCAATGATCCTTATCGAAACTGGGTACCCGAACGGAAGCCCAATTGCATCGTGGACGAGGCACGCAGCCGATGCGATTGAAGCTAATTTGAAATTTTAAAGCGGCCGACTAAGGTCGGTGAAATAAAAGCGGGGGATGAGTTGAGCGCGGAGAAACGAAAAGGAGGAGCAGAGAAGAATGGCTCCGCGAGAGGACGAGGAACGAGCGTGAAGAGGCAGCCGGACAAAGACAGAGGAGACGTTGAGACGAGAAAAGGGAGGACGAAAGTGGGTGTAGGTTCGGAGACTGGACCTACAGGGGATACCAGAAGGACGAAGAGGAGGCTGCTGGCCGGGACAGAGAGGCAGACTGAATTATCGTGATATTTAAATTAACAAATGACATTCTGCATTACCATAGCCTGTCCGCGGCTCGCCCCCTATTGTAACAGTCTCGAATTCCCCGACCATGGCCAGGGACGGAGACGTCCAACGACTGCACCGACGACCCGCGTCTCTTTTCGTAGGATACGTTACCACGTGACAGTAAATCGCAAAGTGTCAACGTTTCTCTTTTTGTCCTGGCGTTACGGTGACGATTTAATGTCACAATCTGAAAAGATGATTGTCCAATAAGTTGAATAAAAGGTCTTGTTGAATCGTTAAGGTCTTTATCGAGATTACTATCGGGTCGATAAAGATTATACGCTACAAGTTGACGACATAGTGGGAGTCGATCCAGCTGGAAGGAATTCCAGGTAAAAGCAGGTCGATTTACAATCCGATCGGCGTTATTACGAGTAATTGGCCAGATAACTTTTACAGGGGAATCAATCGTTCCCGCTCCGACGATCATTCCGTTCGTTCGGAATTTTTCAACGAACCGATCGAACAGTAAATCCCTGTTAATGGAAAATAGGTCCAATCTGAAACGAAACAGTCAGGCAACCGGTCTCCGTGAGTGTTAATGTTCGCGCTGAACGGTAGCCAGCCCTGGTCAATAATTATTTTATCGCTGCCATTAAGAGCTCACGGTAGAAACCGACTTCGTCCTCGCACGGCTGTAATTACTTCATTCCGAACGAACGTTCGTCGGTTTTGCTGTTTCGACGACTTTGATGACCGTCCCGCGATGACGATTATTAGCTGTTTAGGGTTGTTGTCTCGAGATACGCGCTGCCAGCGAGGATCATTAAATCGGCCGAAAAAAGAACAGGTATCTTCCGGCAAGATCGGAGGGAAACATCGGTGCCGGTAGTAAACGACGTTCGGATACTGTTACGAAGACGGCGCGAAATTGATAACTACGCGTCAGATACATATTCTGTACGTACAGAATAAGTGGTTTGATCAATTAAATTAACACTTGCATATACGGCACGATACTTTGTACCCTGCAGCTGGAAACAAAATGTGGCCTTGCGTGCAGCGTAAGGAATTTTAAGCAGCAATTAAATTTTCCTTATCAGTAGGATATCGTTATCGGATCGGATGTAATAACATTACCAAGCAATAAATGCGGCAATTGATTAATTGCAACTGATTAAATTAGAATCTTTTCTGTTAAAAAATTACCTTATCTCTATCTTCCCTGATCCTTAAGAGGCACCCTCTCCGCAACAGCCCCGAATTCAATCAAAAAAAAACAGTACTCCCTGTAAGAGGATCAGGAATACCAAAAATAATCTGTCGCCGTAATTAACCTGGCAGAGACATAATCCAGCAGTGATCCAGGTGGACGTAACGACGGGCAGGCTTGGTCGACCAATCATCGTCGACGATCAACAAACGAACAAGCACCAGGAACGCTGTACCGGGCCAGCGCAGGATTAATTATTCTTTCTGCGTGAATCCCTTTTTAACAGCGGAGAAGAGATCGGCTCAGGGGTGGGCCGAGCAGTGAACGGATCATTCTGCCATCTTCGATATCGCGGCCCGATCGCATGGGCGGTCGCCTTTGACGCGGATGACTGGCTCTAATCCGCTAACTTAGACAAACAAATGACAATGGAGATCGTTTATCTGAAACGGAGGGTCGATGGTGTAGATAGGAGCCGAGGAAAGGACCTAAACCCGGGGTCCCGGCATCGTTCTACTTCTCGATATAAGCACCGTTTCGCTTTCGGACAGGTGGATCCAACGGATTGATCCTGAGTTTTAATGACTGATGGTACGCGCTAATTGGCGGCAATCCTGTTGGAATTTTCCCGGGGACGAAAGGGTGCTGTGCCTTGTATCAGACGGATAGCCGCGGCAGGATCGTTTCGTTAACCGGGGAGCGCTTTTATCTCCTGGGAAAATTGTGTTGACATCCCTCGCGGTATGTTTTAACTTCGACGACTAGATCGGAACAAGTTCGAAGGAGCTGGTATCGTAATTAAAAATTGAAATAAAGAAACCGACTCGGTGTTCTCGCGCGATCAGCTTCATCGACACGCTGCTACAAACGCGAAACATATTACCAGCCGCATCGTGCGCGAAATTAATTCTCATATCGACAGATTTACAGTAGAAATAAGGAGAGCAAAAGAGCGAGGATGAGGAGAGTAAGGGAGCAGCTGTGTACACCGGTCGATACTGACAAGCAGAACATATTAATTAACCGTTAGATATCGCGGTCTCGGTACGCGGTTGTACACCGTGGATCCGACGATTTATTCCGTTCGAACGGGGGCGCATTAAAAACCGCCGACATAGTCCGGGAAGCGTCGGCGTCAAGCAGCGTTTCAGGGCCCTCGTTTCTTCGTCACGATGGAACGACTTACGGTCCTCGCCGGCCTCTAACCGATCGTACATTTCCTTCGAATTCAAATGCGCCGCGATCTAGTGGCCGTAGGCCTGACTCCGATCCAGCATCGAAAGGGGAACACAGACAAGGAGAGAGGAAGCGAGTTCGCGAGCGTTCGTTTATTCACCGGAGATCGTAAATATGGTGCCTCGAAGGCATCATGGCCGATACAACGAACCGGGGATGTCTCAATCTTCAATTTTCCTTCCCGTACCGTCCAGATAGATTGATAACCACCTTTTGGTAGGCTGATGAGACACGATATCTCAATCGCAGAATATTTTTCCAATGATTCGACGAGGAAGAACGCGAGCTGACTTTCAGATTTATCCATGTCAGTTAGGGAAATGAATCATCTTCAGAGTTTCGATTCAATGATGCATGAAAATTTTAAGGTTTTAAGTCATTGTTTCTAAAAATATTCGAATATCTCACGTTTTCCTCGAATCCAAAAACCAGATTCCTGTTCATTGAACGCGATTGAATATGTGTCTATTATCGAACCAAGCGAGTTTCGGATGCCCCTCTTACCTAGGGACGACCTACGGTCCCCGGTGTCGTGTGGATCGTACTTTTTCTTCGAATTCAAATGCGCCGCGTTCTGCAGTGTCCGGCGAAGACGGAATGGAGGCGGAATAATAGAATGAAGAAGGATAGACGAAAGAAGGGAAGGCGGTGGACGGGCAAGCGCACGGTTACACGGCGTTACTCGTAAATACGGTGCTCCGAAAGCATCACGGCTGGTACAAAGAGGCCACAACGTCTCAATCCGAGGCTCCTTGGAGGGTCCGTGGAGCTACGTTAGCTGCAACACACTCCGCCTCCGCCACCAAGACCTCTTACCTCCTCCCTCGTTCTACCGTGTCTCTTGATCTCCTTCTCCGTCGTTGCTTTCGTTCGATGGCCCCTTTCGATCGCAGCCCCCTTTTGCGAAAGCGTGCAGCAGTTCGCGAAAGGGGTACCACACACCGGGCCTCACAGATCACCCCGCTATCTGAACGAGCAGATCTTTCAGTTCGGTATACAACCACGGTGTGGAGCACTCCGCTCTCTTCGACTCCCTTTTACCTTCTCTCTCTTCCATCTTCACCCTCTTCCGTTGTTCCCTGATCCCGTTCCCTTGCCTCCTCCGCTTCCATCCCGTCCTCCCTGTTGCAACGCAGAACCAAGCCTTCCCTCCCGAACGTCGCGAGGAACAGCGAACCGGGGCACGTCGCGGTGTCGGGTTTGTTTTGTCCTGGCGAATCCGTGATGAGAACGTATGTAGGTGTATCCCACCCTTTGTTCACGTGGCTGCTACGTGGGCAACCACGAGAGAACCACCCGTGTCCGAACGAAGGAACCCGGCCGAGTTTATGCGAACACGCTACCATCGCCAAGGACACGTTTCCTCGCTGAATCTACGAGCCATCGCGGCGTACAACTATTTTACCCTTTTCGTCGATCCTCCGTGGACCTTCCTCGTGGCAAACGGTGGCTGCTCTTCCTTCGCCCTTCGGGGGCGGTGAAATTAGGGATGGATAGCGATCGATACATATTGATGATAAAAATTTTTACCAAATTTTGGATGACTGTACGAGTTGAATATCTTGCAGAGCTGAGACTCTGAATTCTTCCAGGTCACAGAGGTCACCGTCGTAAAGAGAAGTGTGCCAACCTGCAGAGAAATCGATGCAAACGAGGAAACGTCTAAAGCGTTGGCACGCGAATGGATCTTCCAGCGAGCAAACGCCACACGACTATGATATTAAATTACGAATCCAGCATGGCGAGCGTGAAACCATTCGAATGTGTATGAATCTTTTCAGAGGAATAGACTAGAGGCGTAAATTTGAAAGGTGCCATAAAGTATTATGCATCGTCTAGTTAGATCATAAATCTTCGATCGAAATTTAAGGGGTGAAGTGACCGTAGTAAAAAGATATTTCTATAGGATATAATATATATAAAACGGTGGGCATATCCGAGTTAATAGGATCAAACTAGAATTTATATTTCAACTCGGACGAAGTAGGAAGAGAACGTCCCGAACAAAGGGAATTATTTAAACGATGACAAACGACGCTCGGTCTCGTCTCGAGCCGAAAAAATTTAATTTTCCCGCTCCACCCCCTATGGCGAGGGAAAAAATACAAATTACCCGGTCGGGAATAAACGTCGTCGCATCGGGACGAGTTAAAAAACCATTTCTCTTCCCGCTGCCAACCATTGTCCAGTTCTAACCCCTCGTCCTACCTGCGTCCAAGACTGCCTAAGGAGCTAGTGAACGCGAAACCGGTCGTCCGGAAAATTTTTCCAGCCTCTAACAGCAGCTCCCACGCGAAGAAATGTCGTGGACACGATTTCATTAAACACTCTTCGAAATTCGACAGTTTCCCATGAATCCGAGCTCTGCTGGCTCTCTCGAGGCGTGTACAAAGACGCTGCAGGTCAACGGTGATGCGTCTTTTTTCCGAGGGTGAATCACCTGCTTGAATGTATTCTTCGAGAGTCTCGGGAATTCGAGCGCTTCATTTCCTTAATCGAGTGTAAAAGAGCCACTCGAGAGATGAAAAGAACCACTCGAGAACTCTGGAGGATGCCAATTTGATTTACTAGCGACACACGTGTCGTTTAGCCTCTCGATGATGATTCTACGGTGGCGAGTATAAAATTGATAATTTGTTTATATTAAATTTTAATAAGAATATTTTTGAACACCCTCTATCCTACCTTATCCGCGCCGCGAATAATATCCTCATAATTCTTCGAGGAAGAGGAACAGAAGAAACAGCAACTCTGAAGAATAAAAAGAAGCGGAAGGGAGAGGACGGCAAAGGTGTGTAGAAGAGAGGTGATCGCGGTTTGCGCCGCTTTCTCGTATTGAGCAATCAATAACAGGCCTGTATGACAGGCCACGCCACGCACACGGTCCGTTTCCGAGAGCGTGGCTTCGCGACGAAGATCGTGGGGTCCGAAGGTGGTGCAGGTGTTGGGTACCGGGAACAGGGCACCGCTCGCAGAGCCGACAAAGGGCCACGGCAATGGGCGAGTTGCATTCGGCATTTGTTTCTGGGGATACTTAGATCGTAATCTCGCCGGGGTTCTGACTTCGCTGGTAGTTATACGCGCCGACTACCCCCTCTTCGATTCACCAACGATCTCCCACCTCTATTCTTCCCTCGATTCTTTTATTCGCAGCTTCTTCTAAGAAGCTGATGTTTCGACGATAACGATCGAACAGCCTGATACCGAGGGTAAAATCGACATTGTAGACCAATGGACGTTCCGAGGGTGAATATTGAAAGGTTTCAAAATTTTAGCTGATTTTTTAAATTTACGTATCAGGTGATGATTATAATCGTTCCGACGAGTTTCGAGGTGAACAGGATCTAATTTTCGCGCGACTCGAGGTCATCCTCGCTTCACGAATCCGATCGAGTAGAGATAGAAACACGGCCGAGGTGAAATAGCCGCACACCGTCCGCAAGATTCACGGCCAGACCGTGCACCACTCATTAAGCATGGTAATGCTCGTTCACCTTGCAGATGTTGATCGGTAGGTACCTACTAATTACCCGAGGCTCGTTCTACCGGCGCTGAGGACGGTACGGAAACGACGATTTCGGGCCCACCAGCGTGCGAGATCGACTAATTAATTCTTCTGCGAGCGGATCGCCCTCTTCGTGCCACGAGCGAGCCTCGCCGTGTCTATCGAGAGGTTTCGATCAGCGTTCGGATTCGCGGATACTCATCCGATTCGCGTGGGTACTACGGGAACGCGCGCGAATTTCCTTACAATTACAGCATCGATATTTCAAGAGAAGGGAAGATTCGTCACGGGCGTCGATAATTGCCGAAAGGGTCAAGTGGCGAGCGCCGCGCGAGTCGGTGAACAGAGACGCGTTGATAATTGACGTGTCGGATCGTTCGTAGGAAAGGAAAGAGAAGAATGAGAAAGAGAAACGAGGCCCGACTCGACGAAACGGAGCTCGACTAAATAGCCGTGCGATGTTCGAGCGCGGCCTGAAAAGACATTCGTATCAATTATGGGAGGTAAAGTTTCAGTGCCCCGCTAAGGAGTCCGCCGCGGAGACAGAGCAGCGCCTTTCGAACCAACTGGCCCGCTATATATTAACCAGCAGGGGTCCATTTTACCCCCTCTCTCCTCTGCTGCCCTAACCTGCGCCCTCGACCAAGAACGCGGGCCTATTCTCCCTTCTACCTACTTCCCTGCACCCTTCCTCCTTCTCCCTCTCGCAACAATCCTCTTCTCTCCTTTCTCTCGTTAACCGACTCTTTCTCCTCGTCGGTTTCTAGTACAAATTAAATTAATTTTCGACCGTCCGACATTATTCTCTTATGAATTCCACGAGCCAAGGCCCTCGTGACCCGTGGAATGGAGATGTTTTCACGTCCCGCCACGTTCTGGGCCCAAGGGCTACGCACACCCCTCGTCTCGGGGCCATTAGTAAAGCCTCCTTTCTTCCCTCCCTTTGTTTATACCTTGTTCAATCCGCTCTATCTCCGCGTTCCATCTACTCTTTTATTCTTAGGTGTTCGAGCTTGCGGAGTAAGTATCGTGATTTATACTGTTAATTAGATTGGCTGGTGTGGAGCCTTTGATTCTGATTTCATTTTTTGTTAAATGAGGACGTAGATGAATTTGAAACTTCCTCTTTCCGGTTTCGTTAGACATACTCCAAGTTAAATATGATTTTTTCCTTTTAACATATTCGTAATCGGAGGCCCAGATTCTTCAACCATTAGCGCCTACGATTCTTCCCTCTTCTAATACTAATTTTCTTACGCTTTCAATTCCCGTCATACAATCGCTACCCCGTTATTTTGTAACGCCACGAGGCTGAAAGTTGACACGGCGTAAATATACGAGACAATAAATTACAGACCCAATTTCTTTTATCTTCCTTCGAAACGATTCCAATAACACCAGAAGCAAAATACTCGAATCTTATCCGGCGACCGCAATCTCGGCTCACCCCCTCGCGTCCCGGGAACGGGTCAAAGAACGTAACGAAAAAAACCGTCCCGAGAGTTCCACGAAAATTAATTTCAGCTCAATTTCCGATAGCTCGCGATCGTAGCGAGCGGAATCGTCAAGAAGTCTGGCGAGTCGAGATCTAGCTCGGAGTGGACGAGACGGGGTCAAGCGTCGCGATAAGACGATTCAACGAGCTGCCAACGCGGAGACGATAAGCAATTTGTAACGTTCGGGCTGAAACGAAAGAAAAAAAAAAAAAGAAAAAGGAAAAATGGAGAGAAAGAAGGAGAAGGCCAGTTGGATGGAGGGAGCGAGAAAAAGAAATCGGTCGGTTTACAACGGACAGATATGGAGCGTCACGGTCCCGTCGGGTCTGGCTCCGTGATGAAACATAAATGTTTTACTCCCGCTTGTGTAATTCATGTCTAAACTATTTAGATAACGCGTTATCGCCTACAAACGAGCCACACAAACTCGAACCACCGTGCTGCCCCGTCCTTCGCCACCCATCCTGCCACTTTAACCCCTTTTCTGCCCTCTCTTATCCGCATTTACGTAATCGCGATCCCTGTTCAAAGCTTTCTACACCTCTCGTAAAACGTGTCGATGCTCTTCTTCCTTCGCTGTCGTCGCGATTCTTCGCTTTCTCTCGCATGAATCACCCTTTCGAAAAATGGGGGATGATCGGTGCGAAGTATTATTTAAGAGTAATTATAAGTTCGTTATGACCCAAGATCATCGTTATTTCGAGAGAGCGGTTGTTTGAGAGAGATAAAATTGAAATAAACTTCATCGTCATCCTTCACCAACACCACAACACTATGATGCAGATGCTAATTAAGACTTAATTTTATTATATCCGCCTCGTAGATGATGATTTATGTTCCATCTACGTCTTGTTCTGGACCGACGAAACGGAAACTCGATTAACTATTTAATAGGAAGAGAAAGGGGCGCGAGAGAGGGCTCGATGGATGAAGGAAATGCTTGTAACCGAGCGGCAAGAAAACCACGAAATGATGCGAATCAAATCTTACGGCTGGGTAGACGTTAATTACATAGTACGCGGACGAGCATGGGGAACGGCAAAAACAATCTCGACCGAGAGCCAACAGCGGTTTCCAGATTACGAACGCGAGCGAAACGAGTTCTTTGAGTCGATTAATCATAGATCGACTTCCTCCTTGCACCAGCGGGAAACGATACTTGGAAGAAACGGCGCGGAGCGTGAAGAAAAATCGAATTAGATATCGGGATCGATCGATCAAACCGCGTACGAACGTGATCTGCCGGTAATTGACGTCAAAACTTGCGCAGGTGGCAAGTTTGACCAGGAACATTGGTTAATTGACGATTATTAAGGTGAAGAAATTGATCTTTCGATTTCACATGGATCGTGGAATTATTTTATAAATTCAGAGGCGAGATTTTCAGGTTCTTTCACTGTCATTTTTATTTTAATTTAAATTTGAAAAATTATCTCAAGTGCAAAGGGTTAAACAGAATTCAATATAAAATTTACGATTCCCCGATAAAAGAGGAAACCTTGGAGAGGGAGAAAAGTATCACGTAAGACGTTAAACATAATTTATCTCTGTTAAGAATAATAAAATATTGTTTCTTGAAGAATCAGTGAACCATAAACGAGGGGTCAAGAAATGCCCGGCAGATAAGCTGAGAACGATCTGATTTTCATTCGAGAAGCAACATTAACGATCAACGATTTCCCAATCGTTTATAATTTTTCATAATTCATGCATCGTTTCGACTTTTCAAATTCATTCCCTCCCACACTCCCTCGTTAGAATGTCGTAATCGTTGTCTAAAAAAGTTTCTATACACCGACAAAGTGAATCGGTATCTAAAAAACAAGTCGAAGGAGGATGAGCGTTTCGTGGCTGTATTATTAAAGATGAGCTCGTAACAATATCGAACCGGCAGACAAATTGGACCACCCTGGGCCTACCCCCTGGTGCACACGACGCGCTGTCCAAAACAAAAAGCATCGCCGATGCTACCAGCTGAGATATCAAGATAATGACGATCCCGACAGAGGAGCCTGTCTTCTACCCGAGGAATTCGACGATTCGTTCATCCGCTCAACCCTTTTGAGAATTTCGTTTCAGTTTTTCATTCGTTTGAAAACGTGACGAGATGATTGAGCTATTTGGCAGATCATTGTTTCATTAGGAGCTCCTATCTTGATTGATTACGTATCATTTGGTGAATGAATTTGAAAAATTTGAAACGTGACAAATATTTGTGATGAATTTATAAATAATTAATGCTAATACACTTGAGAATGAAAAATATCGTAAGGGTTAAGCGGAGAATATTCAAAAGCGCCCCATCATCAAAGGGTTAATCACCTGAAAGACACCTTCATAAATTGCACAGGGGGTTTCTTAATTATTGAACGAAAGAAAGGTGTTCGCAATCTCCCTTCTGATGACAGAGAGACAGAACAACGTAGAATGTTAATCTTCTATTCTCCAGAACAACCTTCCAACTTTTTGTTCCCTTTTCTAGCTTATTTTTCGTGATTTATGAGGCACCGAAACGCTTGGCCCGACTTTTTCTAGGACGGTCAGACCTGGAACCGACCAAGGTCCCGACTAATTTCGTAATACATCGATTCATGGTCCCCCTTTGGAAATTCATTAACGTGTCCGATAACCACCGGGCTCGATTGAGATATCGCCGCGAACATTTTCCCCGTTAACGATCCCTTCTCTGACCCGAAACTTCGAGCTCGATCGTTTTTCTTCACGATAATCATGCTTATTGAATTTCACCGGATCACACTACCCCTTTCTTATTTATGGGGCACCCTTCTCTGGATACGAAATTCGTTTGCAGACAACAAGAATCGTTTTGATTCACCCTTTTACAACTGTGAAAGGAGCACTTTTTAAAAAATTGATAAATTATTTATTTATTTCCGGGATTCCTTGTTCAACCCTTTCCGGTTCCCGGATTCTGGGTCCTCCTTGGAGGATTCCCTACCCCGGGTTTTCGGTCGTCTCGCATCAGTTTATCTTTAGTCGTCGAAAATTTAAAAATCTTAATTTTTACATTTTATAATTGGTTTTCAAATTAAAACGTTAATTGCCAAATTAAATCACCCCTAAAAAGTAGTTTCAAATTCAACCATTGCGCCATCTTTTTAAAAGCGGTTCAAACTACTCAATACCTTACCCATCGATTTTTTACGTGATCAAAATTAAAAATATGAAATTAAAATTGATTAACAGTGGCAAAGACGTGCCCTTTTAGTCGCCTTTTACGACAAGCAGGGATACTATGGGCGTATTCTACATCCCCCCGCCCATAGGGGGTAATCGATTTTTTAAAACATAATGAACCAGTGGAGTCATCTGTTAGAAAACAGCAGATGTTGCCTACCGACTTACCAATCGATCCTCCGGCAGTCGATAAGCCTCCCACGCCAGTTTAAAAAAAATGAAACCGACTCTTAGATTTTCTACTGTACCTAAAATTGATAAGATAGATTTCTTTATCATCAACATTCAGTAATATAATTGCAAATGTGATTGCTTCATAATGAAAAAGCTTAGGGCTTAGGTCGACACTTATTCGAAGCATCGAAGACCCCTTTCGGAGGACCGAAGTGTACATCCTGGAGCTAAAAACTATCGATGTTTGTTGACACAAAGTTCCAGCAAAGTAATTCAAGGATCAAAGTTATCTCCAAGTGCCCCCATAGACACGCTTTTCTTTTTTTCCCACAGAAAGAAACGCTCGGAACGTGTCGGCATTAGACGTGAAATTTATTAACGAGATCTCGGTGTTGCAGCCACTTCAAAATTACAGACCTTTTTTCTCATGGAAACATCGACAAAGTGGCGCTCTGATTAACATCCAATTTTCCCTCTACCATTATATAAACTTGCAGCATGTCTTTGACTGATTCAAGAGTTCATTAGGAAAATTATCCTACAACTTGTAATGAAAGAAATAAACTTATTCCTAAGACAATTCAATGGACTGTATTTTTTTTTTAAATCCTTGAAAAGAACCATAGAATTGCAAAGGACCTAGGTCCCACAACTAGGAAGAAGAATGAAGGAAGAAACGCAGACTAAAATGGAGACAGGATGTTCGAAGAGACAGGGTAGCGTGTGGGCATTGTGTCGAAAGAGGACAGTTCGAAAGCGCATTTCTGCACTTAGGCGAGCTGGGATGACTTTCGTCGTTTTCTCACGAGTGGTCCAGACAATTGCGTGGATCTGGATGTCTAGACGGTCGCATCCTTCGTTTTATTTTCTGCGTTGCAACCAAAAACACGTTACATTTGCCAGAAACTTTCTGCCTCGGTTTCTCGATAATCCCTCGCCCACTTGTTCCTCCCGGTACCCATCGCATTCTTTCTCCTACCAAAATCATTTCTAATACAAAAATAATACGAGGATCTACAAGATTAAAAGAAACTCGGAACAGTAAAAGTACATAAAACATAAATAAGAAATGATACGATAACAGTTACCCTTAATAAACTAAAGTATACGTCAACATGGAAGGACCTGCAGTAAAAATTTGCATAATCCCTCCATGTAGCAGTGAACTTCCGGTCGGATCGATCACATGCATTGTCTGAAGCAAGGTCGCATAGAGAAGAGCGTTCGAAGGAGAGAAAGAACAGATCCTGGAAACGCGGCCCGTCATGGGCGGCATCTGACCCCCCACGAGTCCAGCCAGAAGATACTCTACCGTGCGCCATGGGATTTTTTCTATAAACACGGATAGGGCATCCGAGGCCGCATGCAGCGGCTATTTAGACGCGAGTAAACGGCACAAAGGGCCCTTTTGTACAGCGAACACGGACCGTCCGTGTTGCAACTGGACACCACATTGCATCACAGACATACCGTAGGCTCGATTGCACGCTTTCGTTACACGCTGGATCACAGCGGTGTCGCGAGAGGAAGGAAGTGCTCGTTATCCTTTTTGCCATTTTCCAGACTAGGACCATAGCGTGAGAATAATTAATTTTTGGAGTATCCAAGTTTGAACGTAACTGAAAATACTAGGCACTTCAATTTAATTTTCATCCCCTCTTGAATACTTAATTTTTACCGACAAGAGGGGAGAAGAAAAGTGAAAATGGTACCGAGGTACGGTGGACATTTTCCAG